GTTCCTGGCCACATAACTCCATGTCTGGTTTTTCTGCCCAGAAAGTCTTTGAAGTAGCCAATGTCGTGTTTTGTTTTTGTTTGGGGGTTGAGACAGAAACATGTTATGTAGTTGAGGCTGGCCTCAAACTCATTATGTGGCCAAACCAACCTCATCTTAGCAATCCTCCTGCCTCAACCTCCTCATAGCTGCTGGGATTAGAGGTATGCATCACCACATGCAACACAAAACATGGTAATGCTGTTTTGCCTAGGCTGGTGTGGAACTTCCATCTCAGACTCCAGAACAACTGAGGCTATGGGCACAGGCGACACTCTCTGGCTGTGGCCATTTTTCCTTTTTTTGAAATGAAGTGCTGGGATTAAAGATGTGCAGCACTTCCCAGGCCTAGGCCATGTATCCTTTTCCTGTGGCTCATACCGGAAAGGTGATAGCACCACAGTAGAAAGACCTCCATCCCCAAAGGTTCACCATCAGTGCCTCCATCTCTGCTCCCTTCTGCCTCCCCTCTGATTCTGCCCTAGTTCCACGTAGCAAATGATGTGAGCGGCAAGTCCAGAAGTCGGCTGCAGTTCCCTTGTGTCTACTCCTTGTCCGGTCATCAGCAGTGAGGGGAGATGGGGAAAGCTCCCGTTCATGATCCCCCTCTGAGAAGGTAGGATCTTTACATCATGGCATGGGGCACTGGCCCAACAGACGTAACAGCTGACTTTCTGCAACACAGGACAAACCCAGGCTTGCAGAAACAGAACAGTTCCCAGAGGGATGAATGTTGAGCTGGAACTCGCCAGAAATTAAGTATTGGGAAAAGGTAATGAATGAAAGCTCAAGTACGGCAAAGAGGGATCAGGAGGGGGAGAGCATTAGACAAGGGGGCTGAGCAGGCAGGTGGGCAAGACTCAGACTTGCAGGCCCGGAAGGCCTTGTGAGGTACTGCAGACTGCCTCCTGAGAGCTGTCAGGAGCCATGATGAGGTCAAGTGGTTGACAGATTAGCACACTCGCAGGCAATTCTCCCATGGAAAATAGAGGGGAAGTTGGAGATTTCCGGGATAAACCAGAAGGCTACTGCAGGATAGGAAGAGACAGTGCCCTGGCCTGGGCACTGGGGGATGGAGATGTGAAAGAAAGCAGAGTTAATTCAGCAAGCCTCGATAATGGGGGAGTCCGAAGAAGGCAGTAGCACTGGGAGTATTCAGAGTCATCAGGTAAACGAGTAGCTGTGGACAACAGAGGAGGAGTGCTATTTCTCAGTGGGTTTGTTTGTTTGGAGAAAAAGTCTCAGGATACAGCCCAGGCTGGCCCTGAACTCATGTTCTTCCTGCCTCTGCTTCCCAAGGTCTAGGAGTGTAGACAGTTCTGCACCTCCATGGCTAGCAGATGAAGCGATTTAGATAATGAAGTTGTTCATTGGTATATTGGAGTTTTGGTTTTGGTTGTTTTCTGTTTTGTTTTTTGTTGTTGTGTTCATGAAAAGGGTCTTCCTTTGTAGCCCAGAGATGGCTTCAAACTCATGATCTTCCTGAGCCTCTCAGATGAGGTACACTGTTTCTGTACTGGTGGAACATGTAAGAAGAGAGGTCGGAGAGACAATCAGACCTAAGGATCTAGGCCTCAGGGAAAAGGGTCTAGACCAGGGATAAAAACATGAGTCTGGGGCAGAGGTGATTAAAGGCACAGCAAAGTATGTTCCAGGTGTTTATGGAGTATATGTTAAGAAAGCCCAAGAATGCTCTGAAAACAGGTTTACTGCTGCAGAAAGGGAGAGGAAGAGAGAGCCACAGAGAAGGCTGAGAGGGCCAACCACACAAGCAAGAGGAAAACCAAGCAAATGGGTGTCATTCGTCATGTCCCCAGGAGGGACGAGCCCAGGGTATGGATGCTGCAAAAACGTTTAGAGAGCATCAGCCAAGAGCGCAATGGATGGAGAAGAGGGTGCCAGCAGCCCCAGGTTTGGGGGAATCAGTTTAGGGCTAGGAAAGGTGGCAGTGGGGTGTGAGGGAGCAGCCAAGGAAAATTAGGCATCTCTAAGAACAGCTATGGAGGGGGAGGAGGGAGGGCAGCAGGCAGAAGCTGCACAAAGTTGGTGGTTGGAGAGTCTCTAGATCTTTCCAGGGTGGCAGGAAAGGGAGAGTGTAAAACCAAAGAGGGTTCTGGGGAAGGCTGTGGAGAGAGGTGATAAGGGCTTGTCCCTGGGGGGAGACTGGACCCTGGGTCCCAGGAGTTGGTTATCAGGTTGTCCTTTCCTCCACAGGTCCTCTATCTTTTTCCTGCTCTTGGCCTGGCTCTCCTTGGAGCTGGAAGAGAGAAGGACCCAGTCATAGCCTGGAAGAAGCTCCGTGCCTTCAGAGGTCTTTCTGCCTGACTGTAAGCTGGGGCTGGGACCAGAGGAGGGGGATCTGAGGGGGGACTAAGAACCAAGGACTGAGGACAGGGGTGGAAGAGAGGGAAAAGGCTGGGAGGTATGGAAGCTGATTCTGGAAGGCATCCTGAGAGCTAGAGCAGTGCAGGGCTGGAGCCAGGGAAATGATGCCCAGGGCCAGGGTGGCATCCCTTATAACTCCCTTTGCCATCAGGTCCTATGGCTCTCCTCATCCTGCTGTTCCTGCTGCCAAGCCCCTCACATTCCCATCCCACCTGTGATGTCTCCAAAGTGACCAGCCTGCTGGAAGTGAACTGTGAGAACCAGGGGCTGACCGCATTGCCCGCAGACCTGCCAGCAGACACAGGCATCCTCCACATGGGCAAGAACAAACTGGGTGCCTTCTCCACAGCATCCCTGGCGCATTTCACTCACCTCACTCAGCTGGACCTGGATGAATGTGAGCTGACCAGCCTGCAGACTGATGAGAAACTGTCAAAGCTGGATAACCTGAAATTATCCCACAATAATCTGCAAAGTCTGCCCTCCCTAGGA